CCCCCGTTCTGACCCCCCTCAGAACCTGAATCCCCAACCCGTCCACCCACTATCCACCGCCCTCACATTATCTTCTCCGCCCTGCATCCCCTGACCACCTCACCCCGTACTCTCCACCCTTGACCCCCTCACCCATCCTCATCCCCTCAACCCCACCAGGGGCCAGGCCCCCCTGACCCTGGAAGAGCTGGAGTCTCACTGCGAGGGCACATCCAGCCAACTCCTGTACTTGCAACTCGCAGCCGCAGGTGTGCAAGCAGTGAGTGTGCGTGCGCACATGCGTGTTTGCGTGCGCGCGCACGCGTGTGCATGCGTGTGTTCGTGTGTGCGTGCGTGCGTGCGTGCGTGCGTGCGTGCGTGCGTGCGTGCTTGCGCATGCTTGGTGCGCGCCCGCATCGCCGCCTCGCTCGGCCCACCACCGCAGCTACTGCCCGTCCTCTCTACCCGCACCGCCGCCTCGGACGGCTTCAGCTGCCGACCTCTGTAACTTCCTGCCCGTGCCGCCCAGCACAGGCGTCTCCAGCCGCGACGCCGACCACGCCGCATCCCACCTGGGGAAGGCTGTCGGCATATCCCTCGCCCTCAGGGGGACCCCCTACCAGGCGCGCCCCCTGCCCCCCCCCAAATCCCGCCGCCTGCGCGACCTGGCGGACTGAGCGGGCCGCCGAGGGAACGCCCGGCGCAGTGCCTCGCTGCTGCCTTGTGACTGCTGTGTCGTGTCATCAGCGTGTGCCCGGCCGGCGCGGTTGACGGCTTCCGAACACTGTCATGCCAGCCTTGAATCCACAAAGCCGCGCATGCCCCATGATGTCCTGTTTTCAGAGGAGGATCGACGGTCCTTCCCCGGACAATCCGGCCCCCGCAGGCGACCCAACGCCGCTCCCTGCTGCCCCTCGAGGTCTGCGCGCGCCACAAGGTGTCTCAGGAGGAGATGTTCAGGTCCGGCGGCGGAACGAAACGCCACACCTGCTCGTTTCACGCGGGGACGCATCATACAGCAAGCCCTCCCCTTACAGCCAGGGGCGACTCAGCGTGCCGATACTGCGTGCCCACTCCTGCATGCCTGCCGCGCGCCTGGGGCCTGCCCAGCATGGATCATGCCCCTCTCCCCCTTCTTCGCACAACCACACGCACTTGTGCACGTGCCCACCCAGAGGCAACACCCCCACCCCCAACTTCACCCCCTGCGCACACACACACACACACACATCCTCACACACCAAAATCACATGTCTGCACACGCGTGCGCTCGCATGTGCAGAGGCCCCCCTGCCAGCGAGGCCCTGAAGGACGCAGTCCTGGACCTGGCCAGCTCAGCCAGGGCGCACCTGACAGAAGCGCGCGCCCTCGCCCCCCGCCTCCCGCGCGGCGCCGCCGCGGTGCTGCTGCCGGGGGCGCTGGCGGGGCAGTTCCTGGGGGCGCTCGAGCGCGCGGGGTTCGACGTGTTTGCGCCGGGGCTGCCGGCGGGCGGGGTGTCGCACCTGCGGCGCGCGGTGCTGGTGAAGTGGCACTCCTTGAGAGGGACCTATTGAGGCGTCGTCCACGCTCAAGTCCTTTGATAGTTTAATTAGCTTTGGCATCGTAACCCTGTATCTTTTTCTCAGTATCTGACCCACAGCAGCTGGTTTGGCTTGTGGTGACTGCGCCGCCGCAGACTTCAGAGGCTGGCGTGTGGACCCACTTGTGGGGGGGATGTTGCCTGTCTTTGTGCTCGCCCCTTGCTGGAGGCTTTGCGTCCTCTGCTTTGCACACACGTCTTGGTGGAGAGCCGAACGGTATGCCAGCAGCGCCAAGTAAATCCATTTTCTGCTTGCTTGAATTTGCAAGGTGAACTCCACCTGGGAAGGGTGGAGTTAGCACCAATCAAAGCAGCCATCCAGTCAACCACCCGTGCAGCAAGCTGCCCTGAACAGGTTGCGCCCCCCCGGCGCCCTTGCATCGAAGGTGCTGCCAGCCGCCCCTTGTGCCCCACAAGCTCGAGAGGGCGGCGAAGACTCGCACGCGCATACACCTTGCAAGCTGCTGAGCCTTTGGTTGCGCAGCCTTCACAGGCCACGTTGCCCCGCCCAGCGAGTCGCTCAGTTGCGCCCTATACCCATGTCCAATTTGGATGGAAAAGGTAAAGGGGGCCACAACAAAGGAGTCATACACACGCACGTTTGCAAGAGTCCTTCATCAGCTCTGGGATTTGTATGCAAGAACAGCAAAGGGTGCAGGGGTCACCAAACACACCAGCACACTGCGAAAAGGAGCGTTGCAAAGCAACGCCTACTCAAGCGCTTGGTTCTTCATGAAAGGCACAAATTCACTTTGGCCACCATTCAATCCCCTGCCTTGCCCTCGCCCCTGCGAGCGTGCCCACTGTGCACACCCCAACGGCCACTTGTGGCCCCTCCTCACTGCTCATGCACAAGTTGCCCCCAGCAGCGCCAGCACCTCCGCCGCCGCCCGCTGCGCCGCATCGCGCCCGTCGCTGCCGCTGTCCTCCGCTGCTGTGTGATCTGAGATCAGGCCAACCTCGGACGGGTGGACCCCAGCCTCTGAACGAGGCAGCTGTCGCGTGCCGCCGGGCCTGGGCGGCAGGAGGACGGGGCGGAAGCCCATTGCCAGGAGCGCGGCCAGGCAGGCGGGGCGCTCCAGCAGGGCGGCGACCTGGGGTGACGCAGGGAGGGAAAAGGGCGAGCTTTGTGGTGGCGGGGCGGGAGGTTCATGTGTCCGGTTGCAGCACGCTTTCAGGCTTGTTTGCGGGACGGTCAGCAGGAGGCAGCCGCGGCCAAGACAGCGAGTCCGCAGGGACGCATCGCCGCAGGAAACGAAGGACAGCCGAGCAACTGCTGATGCAAAGCTACCAGGCTGGACGAAGCGGCGCAGGTTCGTAGCAGGCGCGCCTGCCACCTCGACGCTGCCCCCCACCTTGTCGCCCCGCAGCTGGAAGAACTTCTCATCAGCCGGCTCAGCCCCAAGGTTTGCGGCGACGCGCCGCAGCAGGCGCAGCGCCGCGGCGTCTCCTGCGCCGCCCGCGCCCGCGCCCGTGCCTGCCGCGTCCGCCGCAGGCCCGCTGCCTGCAGCCCCCGCCGCGCCGTCGGACGGGGCGGCGCTCGCCGAGGCCGGCTGCGCTGCCGCCGCCATCGAACGCAGCGCGCGCCGCGCGTCGGCTGTCAAGTAGCCCTCGCCGCCGCCGCCGCCGCCGGCGGCGTCCTCACTGCTGCCACAGGCATCAGCGTCCCCAACCGGCGGGGCCGCAGCCACCGCCGCGCCGCCCGCCGTGTACGCCTCCCAGCCCGCCAGCTGCACAGAGTTCGCCGTCGCCGGGTCGCGCGCCGCCAGCACCCGCAGCCGCCAGCGGCGGCTGGGAACGCGGCAGGGCGCCGACACAGAGAACGAGAGCAGCTGCCCCCTCGCCGCGAACTTCACGCCCCGCCGCTCGTCCAGCGCCACCCAACCCTCCTCCGCCGCTGCTGGCGCCGCCGCCGCCGCCGCCGCTGGCGCCGACCCGCTGCCGCCCTGGCTCCCACTGCCGCTCGCGCCCTCGCCGGCCGCGCCGCCCTCGTCCAAAGCGCGGGCCGGGACGCACTCCAACAAGATATGTGAGGGGTCCCTCTCAGGGCAGTCCCCAGCTGACACTAGAGAGTAGTGAGCCACCACCGCCGCCCCCGCCGCCGCCGGCAGCCGCAACTCCACCCACGCCTGCCCGCCGGCCCCGCCGCCGCCAAAGTCGAGCCACTTGGTGGCGGGGGAGCCGTCAAACAGCAGCGCCGCGCCCTCGCCGCGCCCATTCTGGCCAGAGGCGCGGCACGCGGCCCCCTCCGAGCCAAACAGCTGGCCCGCCGCCGCGTACAGGGGCGCCAGCACAGCCGCCCCCGGCTTGACCAGCTCGTACGGCGTCCCCGCCGGCGGCGCCGCCCGCGGCCCGTTCGGGGCGCCGCCGCCGGCCCCCGCGGCGCCCGCCTCGCCGCGCGCTGTGCGCCACGCGGCCGGCCCTGACAGGCGCCCCGGGAGCACCGGGGCCGCCCTGGTCTCCCCCGCCTGCTGCCCGTCCGCAGCCCCCGCCGGCGCCGCCGCCTTGTCCTTCCGCCGTTTTCGAATCGACAGCTCCGGCATCATGAGCTGCATCGCCTCTGCCAGGTCTCTCACAATCAGATCATTCCTCTGCTGAGTCTGCATGTCGGCGCGCAGCCGCTGGTTGACGCTGGCGACCTGCGTGGCATGATAGGAGGAAACTGCTGTCACGACTAGCTGTGAACGGCGGCGCGTGCATGCGGCAGACTCGGCCCCCCATGGCCTGCCGCACGGTGCGCATGTCAAGTGAAAACAACAAAAAAGCGCCCCAGCTACGGCCACCTCGCGCATGCGTTTGTGATCCATGCACATGACAGGCGCCCGGGCGAGCGCTGCTTTGGTCGTCAGAATCCATGTGTATCGCGCGGCCCCGCTCCCTGATCGGGGCGTCCAGGCCCACCAGCCGGGCGATGAACTCGTCAGTGATGGCGCTGAGGGACTCGTCCTCCCGCCGCCGCTGCAGCGCCACCGAGTGGTCCTTGCTGTACCGCCTTTGAGTTTCGGGTGGGCACGGGGGCGGAACATTGGCGACGCACCGGAGTCACAGCAAAGGGCACATGGGGGGCTCGACACGCATAATTGACGCTAACGACGACGACCATCCCAGGCAGCTCGAACCACGCCGCAACTAGTTGGGTGGCAGCCCCACCATTCCACGCGAGACGCGTCGGCAACGCTCCAGAGAGGCCAGCGGAACCGCCGCGGCGGGGTTTGGAGCGGCGCGGCTCTGTGAGAGGCGGACGCACCTCGTGGTGTCGGCGATGCCATGCACGCCCGATGAGATGACGAGGCCGTACTTCTTGCCCCACCCCTGCTCGTACAGCAGCGGCTGGGGTCGGGGTGTTGTGGGGGGCAGAAGAGGTCGCGGTGTGGGTGGCATGCTGATGGAATGGGAAGGTCGAAGCAGGGTGCCGTGTGATGTGAAGCACGTATCTAGTTATATTTGAAATGTTGTATCTAGAGAACACGTGCATGCATGCATGTGCTCCCGCCGATCAACACACACACGCACACACGCACACACGCACACACACACACACACACTCACACACACACACACACACTATGCACTTGCTCACAAAGCCGCCGGCAGACCCATCCGCTCGCGTGCGTATTCGGCTGCTGCGGCCCAGGTCGCCAGCCCAGCGGCCCACCGTGTCAAAGGCGGTCTCACAGGGGTCCACGTGCACCCAGCGGCCCAGGTGATGGGAGTAGAACTCGACCCACACCTTTTGAGGAAATTCAAGGCAGAAACCGCTTAGAAGCCGACTCGAGGAGCGGCCGAAATGCAGGGTGGGCGTCGGCAAAGCGAAGGGCGCCGGCAGGCGGCACAGCAGCTGAGTGCACGTTATGGGGTGCGGGCAGGCAGAGTGTTCTTGGCCGGGGTTGGCGCGCGCAGATCCCTTCGAAGCACACGTGGGCGCCGGGAGCTGGCCGCTCGCGACGCGGGGGATGCGCGGGCCGCGCATGCTGCATGCGCGGGCTCACGTGGTCTGCGTGGTCGTGCACGTGGCGCGCGTCCAGCCCCGCTGCGCGCAGCAGCAGCAGGAACGTGTGCGCCCACTCGCCGCACCTGGGAAAAGACGGCGGCGGCCCGGCGGGCGTGTTGGCGTCGGGGTGCGCGTTTCCGGGGGTTTCCTGAAGGCCTGAGGCGGTGTCTGGACGTCGCCGCATGCGCCATACTGGGAGGTGCTAGTCAATGGGTTCTACTCCATCCTAGATGCTGGGCGTTGGGATGGCGACAGGCGCGCCCACCTGCCCTTGCGGGTGACCAGCAGCTTCCTGGGGTCTGTGTAACGCGGGAACCGCAGCACCGCGCCGCACGCCGCGCACACAAACGCCTCCACGCGCCCCGCGCCGGCGGCCGCCTCCTCAGGCAGCGGCTCCAGCATCGACTGCGACTCGGCGGTGCCGCCGCACGCCTCGCAGGGCGCGGAGGTCCCCTGGGAGGGAGACGGGGGGCGCCAAAAAAAGCAAAGTCAGGGTGACGCGCGGCCCGCGCTGTGTCGGGCGCATCGTGACGCCCAGGGCGCCGCGGGGCAAGGCGACTGCACTCCTGCCGAGGCCACGCTCGGGTCTGCCTGGCTCCCGAGGCGCCCTCTCACGAAAAAAAACGTATTTTGAACTTCGAGAGCAGCCGCCGCGCGCTGGCTGGGCGGTGGCGGGCACGCGGCAGCCGGCGGCCTGTGCGGCTGCTGCCGCGGCCGGGCCTCACCATCCAGGAGAAGAACGACCCCTTGAACCTGTTGGGGCCGGCGGATCAGACGCCAATGGTGATGCCTCGGATCAGATGCGAATGGCGATGCCTCAGTCCCAGCGTGGATGCGGAAGCTGCTCGGTCTGGGCCCCACGTGCACCCTCTCGAACACAGCAGTGAGACTACGCGCCGACCTCTGCCGCCGCCAAGCTGTTGGCCGCCCGCGCCCACTCGAATTCCACGCACCACTGCGCCATGTTCTGCACCAGAATTTCTGTCTCCCCCAGCTCCATGCTCGCCCCCAGCCCCCGGTTGAGGGCCACCGCGGCGCGCGCCTCCTCGCGCAGGCGCGCCAGGGGCATCGCCTCGAGCGCCGCCGCTTGGGCGCCCGGGTCTTCGCACTAGGGAGGGGTTTGGGATGAGGGGAAGCAGGGGGCAGCGCGTGAGAGGCGGAGGAACCAGGGGCAGACACGGGATCCTAGCCTGCCAAGGCGTGCCTCAGGGAGGGGGCGTCGCCAGTTGTGCAAGCTTGCAGCGGCACCGAGGCGCCGACCAGCCCAGGTATAGGGTATTTCATTCGCTTCGCCGCGAGTCAAGGCGGGCTCGGCGCCCTGTGGCTGCATGTTTATTGGTATTCTCTTTTTCTGCATGCATGGTGTGCATGAGCCTAGGCTGCAAGCACCAGTACGCATTTTTGGTCGACGTGCCCACCGCCCCGCACCGAGCGGCACTTGTGCAGGTCGCGCTCGATCGCAGCCACGATGGCCGCCTGCTGCTGCTCTTCAAGCTGCAGTAGCGCGGCCAGGGCCGCGTCCGAATCCATTCAGCTCACTGTTCGTCCCTTCGTTGGAACGTGCGACTGTCGATCCACGCAAGCTGCACTGAACACAAAAATCAGCGCTCCTCTGTCGTTTGTTTCACTTTCAGAAGCAACCAAGCAAGTAAGACACGGCATTGAACCTGATTCACCCACTGCAATACGTAACAGGCACTGACTTCAGATCTGAGCTGAGTGGATCCAGCATCATATTATAGATGCTGCAGCGTCCTCCTACGAGGATTGAGCTTCGCCCAGAGGACAAGGAAGAGGCACGCCTCCACAGCGCTCCAATCGTAGCACGCTCCTCGCCCTGATGCTGCTGTGCAGCGGCGCGCCGGCCCTGCTGGCTGCCAGGCTCAGCAGGCGGCTCGCCCCCGCCCGCCTTTGCTCGCGCGCAGTACGAGCAAGCAAAGCGCGCCGCAGCGGCGGCGGCGGCGGCAGCGGCTGCGCCACCGGGGGCTTTCCCGCCGGACGGAGCGCCTCAGGTGGGAGTGGCGAAGGTGTTACATCCAGCCTAGGCAGTGTGGCCCACGGATCCAGGCGCAGCCATACAGGGCCCTGCCCGTGCTAGAGCTCAACGCTGTGCCTACTCCCTCCGCCCCACCCCCTGCAGGACAAGCGGTCAGCAGCGGCGCGCATAGGGCTGCGCAAGTAACCCACGCCACCGCCGGCGGGGGCGCCCGCGGGATGGAGGTGCGCTGCGGTGCTCAGCCGCCGCCCCATTTGCCTTGGAGGCCCGCCCCCCTCTCATAGCAGCAAGGCGTGCTCCACTTTTGCTCGATCATGTACGGTACGCCGCACGGCTGTGCCTGCCACACCCGTAAATCACATTGCAGCTTACCCTGCGACGACAACTGCTGCGGCGGCCCCAGCACTCGCGCAAGCAGCATCCCATCATTCCTCCCTGCGCACTTTACACAAAATTTGTCCCCAGGTCGAGATAAAGCTGCGTCTCGCCAGCAAGGATGACTACGAGCGCCTGCAGCGCGCCCTCGCGCCCGGCGCGGGCGCTGTCTACCAGCAGGAGAACTTCTTCTTCGACGGCCCGGGGGGAGAGCTGAACGCGCGGCGCGTGGTGGTGCGCGTGCGGCTCTACAACCGGGACCAAAAGGCGACGCTCACAGTCAAGGTGGGGGCGGTGCGTAGGCGGGCGGGCTTGAGAAGACTTGTTTGGGGGTTCAGAGGCCCAGCGTCCGCAGGTGGTTGCGGCGTCCGACATGCTATGAGGGAGTGGCGGGGGCAGGCCGAGCGCGACAACCAGCCTGCTGCCTTGAGTATCACAAAACCATTGTTGCGTCGTCAGTGCCCGTTCGGCGCTGAACGGGAGTGAGCTGCCCCCGCCTCATCCTGTTGCGCAGGGCGAGCAGGTCTTGAAGGACGGCATCGGCCGCGCCCCTGAGACCGAGGAGAAGCTGGACCCGGCCGCCGCGCGGCGCTTTGTGGCCGAGCCGTCCGCGCTGCTGGCGCACGACAGCGAGATCGTGCGGCACCTGGCCAGGTGGGAGCCGCGGGACTTGACGGGCGCTCAAGCGCGACACAATGCAGCCTCTGTTGATGACCGCAGCGTGCGCAATAATCGGTGTGATGATGTCACCGACCTGTTCTGAAATGTCTGGCTTGCACGCGCCTCCCCCCCTTCACATTGCAGCCAATACAGCCTATCGTCGCTAGTGTGCCTGGGCGGCTTTGACAACCTGCGGCGTGAATTCTCGTGGGCGCCGCACGGCGGCCCGGAGGGCGGCCGCGGGTTCACGCTTGAGCTGGATGCGACAACGTACCCCTGGGGCACGCTGTATGAGCTGGAGTGCGAGACGGTGGGTCGGCCCTGTGTTGATGCATGTGGTGTGTCAAATGCACGTATTCCTATCCAAAAAATCAAGTCTGGCTTTGGTGCATGTATGTTTGTGTGAGCTCGCACTCGCTTGTGTGTGTGCATGCATGTGTGTGTGCATGCGTGTGTGTGTGTGTGTGTGTGTGTGTGTGTGTGTGTGTTTTAGTGTTGTGTGCCTACGTGGGCACCGCTGCAGAGGCAGACAGGCCACGGAAGCATCACTAGCCACCCAGCTGCGACGGCCCGCTGCTGCATGTCGCGCACAAAGCAACCAGCCGCCCAGGGCGGCTATGCACGCGACCCTCCTCACCCTGCCGACCCCGCTGACTGCACCGAATGATGCAGGACCAGCCGGAGGCGCTGCGCACCCAGCTGGAGGCGCTGCTCTCCGCCAATGGCGTCGCGTACGAGTACAGCAAGACCTCAAAGTTTGCAAACTTCGTGAACCGAACCCTGGTCTGAGGGATTTTAGCAGGCCTGGGGGGCAAGGCGGATACATGCAAGGCTGCCCCCTTCCTGCTGCAAACCTGGGCCACCCTTTTTGTCGTCCGTTAGGTTGCCACTTGTAAGATGCAGCGCAAGACACCATGAAAGCTCAGCCTGGCGCCTGCCACGCCACTGCCGTTGCGTGCGTGCATGGTGTTCGCACTGATCACATCAGTCATAGTACATGGGTTTAATTTAGACAAGCGATGCAGCCAGTGGACTGATACCTGATTACAAATTGCACACCTCTACCAGCCGGCGAGAGACGTGTCCCCTCTCCCCTCCGTCAAAGCACACCATAGCGCAACATGGGGTTGCAGACGTAAACACACAGCGAAACCCTCAGCAGAGCGGGTGGGTGTCAGCACAGCAGACTCGAGAGGCAAGGCCAGGCGCGGTGCGGTCGCAGCACCAGTGTCCCTTCCGGCTGGGGAAGGGAGCCACAGCAGCGGGCAGCCGGCAAAAAGGTAAAGGGGGAGGCATACGCCCGACGTCAAGGGGGCTAACAGGGCCTCCACTGCGGTTTAGCGCGCTCACAGCTGGTCCCAGTCACCGTCCTCCTTCTTCTTGCCGGCAGAGTTCGCGGCGTTGACGGCACCCTGTGAGGTTGGCAGTGACGATGTGAAAGCTCGTAAATTATTGCGAGGCCGGGGCTACTGCTATAAATCTCTCTAATTTGCTAATGACATGCAGTCAATTGTCTGCTGCTCATCGGGCAGGCATTCAACACCTGCTGCGTACGAGTGTACGACTCAGCAAGCCGCTGAAGTGCCCTGCTAAGCCAACCGACTGAAATCAGGGCCCCTGCGGTTCAGCAACACACCCCAGGGCCCCAGTCGGCACACCCTGCCCACCTTGACGATGCTGAAGACCACGTTGACGATCACCAGCAGGAAGACGATCTGGAGGAGGCCCCCAAAGAAGGGGAAGGGCATCAGGAACGTCGGCCTGTAGCCCCAGCCGCCGAAGAAGGGCATGCCAAAGCCGTAACCAAACCCGCCGACGACTGGTGGCGCGGCGACGACAGTCGTGCTGTAGCTGTTGACAGTCGTGGTGGACGCGCGGCTGCTGCTCCATACAGAGATGCGGGAGGCGCATGGAAGGGAAGGCACGTCAGCACGCCGGCGAGTGGTGGCCTAACACAGCACCTCAGCGCGAGGCGCATGCGTCCCGCTTGCAACACCCCATTGCAGTAGCATCAGCAGCTGCCAGGCGTAAGTTGCGCAGACCGACTGAAACTGTTGTGAGTTCGGTGTCCTTGGGAGACGTGCGTGCGTGGCACCCGCTGAGGTCTCGTGATCAACGCCAGGAAACTCACGGAGCGGCCTTCGCAGGCGCCGCGCGCCTCGAGGAGAAGCCAGAGCTGCTGACCCGGCCTCCAGAGCGCGCGGCCAGGGCCTCTTCGGGCGCGATGGCACTTCCGAGCAGCAGAGAGGCAACGAGCCCCGCCATGGCCACCGACTTGGCCTTGTCGGCCACGCTGCTCTTGTCCTCAGTCACGGCCTTGCACACCACGCGGGGCGCGGTCAGGCGGGGCGCCCGACCGAGGCCGATCTGAGGCCTGGCACGCATCTGAAGCGCCATCGCTGCTCTGCTGTGCAACGATCCTCAACAAAAATATCTATGAAGCGGCTGCAGCCAGCGTGAAGTGTTTTTGTGCGCTGAACAAGGTGTTGAGGGGTGTCGGGCTCGTGGCGTCGCGGTGATGGTGGCGAAGTGACGGTTCTGGAAACGCTTCTCGCCAGCTTCATGCACGGCTCCAGGGAGGTCTGACATCAGGGATATCATCCAAGCAGTGCCTCAGATGGCTTGCAGAAGATAACTGGCTACCTTTGGATGGGCTGGTGGCGCCCTGTGGTGGCCCGCCCTCGTAGGGTTACTACCACACAACCGGCAGTCACCAGCGCAGCTGCCGCCTGGCAGTGCGCAGGATCCCCTCGGTTGTCATGCCCACCAGCCCAGTTGCCTGCATGCAGCAGGCACCATTCTTTCGCACGCCCGGTGGCACATGTGGCCAGGCCCCCAGCCACTGAACTGCCCGTGTGCCAGCACTGTCGCGTTGCCGTCTGCCGGCGGTGGAGCAGCATTGGTACAAAGGCTGCTGCTCTTGTATTTGGCGGACCGTCACACGGCAGCCGCACACGCTTGCAGCACGAAATCAGCCTGTCCATAGTCATGAGTACGGAGACCGCGGCCAAAATTACACAGCTGAATGACGGGTGTCACTCTGGCACTGTGCGGCGCGCGCTTGCCATGCACACGTGCAATGTGGATTGGGCGATTGGCTCAGAGGCGAGGAAGGGCAGCGGCTTGACAGATGACTGGTTGAGGAGGGCGCCGCCACTTGCTGGTGGGCAGGGACCTTGGGCAGGCGCGTCCCAAAAGCAAGGCGAGCATGCGGCTCATCATGAGATGGTATGAGAGGCGCACACGAGAATGTGCGTCGATTTGAGGGATTGAAACGCGCTGGCGCGCCGCTAGCGTAGCTGTGGCACACACAGTCTTCTCAAGAAGGCTGGAGAGGATATGCAATACTAAAGGAGAGCAGCAGAGGGGACGGGACGGAGGGGCTGGCAGGGAAAGCAACGCGTGGGCAGTGGCTCGGTACCTCGGCGCGGGGGCGCTGTGTTGAGCTTGCCCGGCAACGGCTTGTCAGGATGCCAGCAGCGGCGCCAGCGCGGGGCCGCTGCAAAGCGCCCAGCAAGGACGGCGCTACGCGAAGTGCATGCCTCGCATGCCGTCTTTGTTCAAGCAAGGGGCAGGGTATGGAGACGGCTGCCCTGTTTGCAATGCGGAGCACTTTGTTGCCAACAAGAGTGGTTCGCCAGAGATGCGCCAGCGGATGCATGCGTGCCCATGCGTCGGACTCCCGCCCACGAGCTGTCTCATGGATGTCCTCGCCTCAACAGAGCGCGGAAGAGGAATGAGGGCGGGGTTGCTGCAGTGCGGCTACAGCGAGCCCGAGCAGCTGAGGCGGGCGCTCCGGCAACCCCACGCAGCGCCGTTCGCAGCAACGTGGTGCCACAGGGGCGGCGGTGCACCTTGCGCGGCGCGGCTGCCGCTCTGCAGAACGCTTGTACGTGTCCGGTGCATGACTGACCCCTGTTGAAGTCAAAAAGGGGCTTCGACTTGCACACAATTCAAGTGGGGTTGCGCAGCAACGCGGCAGCACCCAGCAGCCGCGGCCCAGGCCAGAAAGTGCCAAGCGAGGCGCACGCATGGCGGGGGTGGTGCAGGGGTCGGGTTGGGTGCGCGGACGCGGGCGCGGGCAGTAGACCAAGGGACATCGCCCATAGTGATGCCTGAGATGAGGGGTGCAGGGCCCGGGAGCCCCCAAAAAGGGAGGGCCTCACCAAGCCGCGCGCCAATGCGTCGCTGCACGCGGCCCCGCGCATGCATCTAGGTGCGGCGCGGTGCGCCGCGTAAGGGCCAACCCACCCGGCACTGCAAGGGGTTGGCCGCAGAGGCGAGCGGGCTGCAACGCGTGCGGGGGAGAAGGCACAATGGTGTATTGCGGTCGTGATGGGAGTCAGCAGTTTCACGTCAGCAGTTGTGAGCAGGTCAGGGGCTCGCTTGTTGCGTCCGCAGGTACGCAGTGTGAGGAATGGGCCCTCGCATTGCATGTGTGCGGTTGGTCAAGGTCGCATATGCTGGCATCTCTATAGTCACAAGGGCACAAAAAGCATGGGCTGCCGCACGGCGGTTTCTTGAAATGCTCGCAGGCACTGCGGCGGCGCGTCGTGGCATAGGCCGGCGTGGCCCCACGCCGCGCCCATGGGTGGCGCGCAGCGGCAGCAGCGGGTGCTGCGGGCCGGCCAAACCCCATTTGTGCGTGTGCCACGGGCGACCGCGGCACATGCGCGGAACCCAGAAAGGGAGTTGGGCCAGGCCAAGTTTCAGGGAAAACAGCGCCGATGCGGGTGTGCTGGCTAGAAAGTCTCGCGACCGTTGACAGCAGCGCAGAGGCCGGGCGCCCGGCCCAGACGGCGCCCAGACGCGCGGGGCTGCCCGCAAGAGGCAGGCGAACCGCGCGGCTGCGCGGCGCGCCGTGCGCGGCGGCGCGCTTTGCAAATGCGACCCACGTTTTAGGGTATAGGCCGGGGTGAGCCCAGTAAGACGCCGGCGGGATGTTTGCAGGAAGCACAGCCGGCGGGCGGCAAAAGCAGTGGCCGGGGGGCCGAGTGTCGCGGGACAATGCCGGGTCTGGGGAACGGGCGGCGGCGGAAGGGCCGGCGGCACGTGTTTATGCAGGCCGGGTCTGGAGGCTGTGAGCGGCGCAAGCGGGCAATGTCTCTCTCTCTCTTTCTCTTTCTCTCTCGCGCGCGTGATCGGGATCGTCACTCCCGGCCGGCCGCGAGCGGCGCCAACGGCCGCTCACAGGCGCCGTGCGCGGGCGCGCCGCACGCGGGCCCCGGGCCGCAGCCGCCGCTGCGCCGGAGGCTTGATGAGGAACTGTTGAATATCTTCAGGCGCCGCATGGCCTCTGCCACGGCCATGTCCGTCTCCTGCTGCGTCGCGATCTGCTGCACCGCTGGCGCCACGTCAGGATGCTGCTGCACCAGCTGCTGCAGGTCCCTGATGCGCGCGGTGATGGTCGTAACCTGCGCGTATGAGTGTGTGTGTTGCAGTGTGTGTGTGTGTGTGGATGTGTGTGTGCGCGCACGTACTGCGTACGCGTGCGCACATGTGTGCTCACTCGCGGGTGGTGCGGACACGTGTGTGGTACATACATACAGCTTTATGTCCAGGCAGGCGTTCCAGGCTGTCGAGCGGTGGTGGCCGCGGCCAGCCCAGTACAGGCCTCCCTTGAGGCCCTGCGCCCGGCTCCAGCATCGCAGCGCACCTCCCCCCGCGCGCGGCAGAAGACGCGCCACCGGTGGTCCTGGCCGCGCCCCTCCATCAGCGACGGCAGCCCCAGGCTGTCGCCGGGGCCCTTCACCGCCAGCATCTGCCGCGTATCATC